TAGCAGTTGATAGCAAATCCTAATACTTAAAGAAAAAAAGTTATATTTAGCAAGCAATGAAAATTTTTAGTGGAAAAATAACATAGAAATTAAATCCTATAAAAAGTTAAACCCCAAACCATAATAGACACATTAATATTTAAAAATCTTACAAGAGAGGAACAAACTACGCATAATCAAATAGAAATTATTAAAACTAACATATTTTTCAAAATTTAGACGAGTTAAGATAGATTATATTAGCCCGGTGATATTCACTCGCATGTAACTCTCTTTTCCTCTCTCGTGTTGAGGAACAAGCGTAATATTTTTTTAAAATAGGTTAATTTAGTTTAGTGGCTTGATATTGAATATTTTTTTAAAAAGAATAAGGGATCAATATTTATGTAGAATAGAAACTATCACTTGCTTATAATTAATTAAGCTTAAAAAATACGCATCACATAGAAAAAAATAAGCCAAATCATTGGAAAATAACCTTAATATAACATTGACGGGAGGAACTTTAGTCAGTACAACAACAAAAGGAACGATGAAATAACAACGATACAAAAGCTAATGCCTTTTTGGGCAATATCCATTGAATTTATTCGGTACAAGAACAAAAAGAAATATCAAATAACATCAATAACAATCCTGCTTAATCTGTTCTCCATCAATAAGTATATGGTTTAAAGGTTTTTCTACATAACCTCCACCAGTGTGTTCGACAAATTCAACTGCATTTAGAAAATCACCATGACAAAGACAAACTATCTCCACTTCATCATTCTTGTTACATGGGTATAACAGACCTTCAGTCTTCTTTCCATTTTTCCCTCACCTCTCATGAAAACAAAAGTCATATGGTTGAGCATGATGTTTTTGATCTTCCCATTAGCAATATAATTCCCTGAATACACAAGTAATTTATGTTCAACGAAAGATGATTTCACATCGAGAACTAAAGGAAAAAAAATTGTTTCCTACTTTAATTTTGATACAAATTCAAATTGACTTGCTATATAAATCAATTCGCAAATTTTTGATACCTTGAGTAGGTGGTTGTTGGGTTTCAACCTCAGCTACACTTGAAGCAACACTTCCATGCGATCCACCTGAAAACATCAAAGAATATTTTTCATTAGTTATTCACAAAAAAATGATTCATTTTTTTCGAGTGAACATCAAAATTACCATTCAATGAAATCCCTTAATTCAATTCCAGATTTTCATTCTCTACATTTGAAGTTCCTGTGTTTTCTTTAGCTTTCTCCATGTTAGCAAAATCTAAAACCGAGAAAGCTATTGAATTTCAAACTAAAAAATTATAAAATGGAAAAAGAAAAACTCAATGAAAGTTTCAGTGCAGAGAAACCATTAGACCATTTGGGAGCTTATAAAGGAGAATATTTCTAGGTCGGAAGGTAGAAAACACGTGAAGAGGTATTTCATTTCCATGGGCTTAGTAAAATAACAAAATAGCCCTCGGAAAGTGACACATGATTGTTCTAGGAATAGCTTGACCACGTGGTTTAACAAGGACTTTGGAAATTGAACCCTAGAGGTAACCGTTTAATAGTGACACATGTCATTTATAGAATCAGTTTATAACTTTTTTTGACCACTTTAAAAATAGGAAAAAGTTGAATGTATTTTTCTACTATATTTTATTGGTAAAATTTATTAAATGTAATATTATCCCATAATTTTTAATGTCAACATTACCGAATTTAATGGGGTAAACAATAAATTCTTTATATGTTTAGGGCCTAACACGTGCATTTTCATGAGTTTTCAAAATTATCATCGTGTCAAGTTTTGGCCATCAGATGCATGTATCTTACATATCTAGTTTTCAAATATATAAAAAGAAAAATAATTTTAATTATATTTTAAAAGGAAAGTAGGTGTGACAAGTTGAAACGAGGGTGTATACTTTTTTCAAATATTTAAGAAGTAAATTATTACGTCAATGATGATTTTACGATGACATCAACAACTTATTTAGGAAAAATCATCAACTAATAACCATTAATGATATAATTATCTTAAATGTCTAGATCTCATTGAATAAATTATTTATATATATAGATTCTCTATGAACAAAAAAGTCCTACCAAAAATAGAAAAAAAATAAATGGTTAACACCATGGCCACTATATAAGTAGTGTGGCATTAGCCCTTTAATGAAAACATACAAACAACAACAACAACAAAAAAAGAATCAAGATTTTGAAAGGGAAACCAAAGTCTACATTGTGTATGTCTCCTTTATCCTAAATTCATTTCTTAAGTTTTGTGTTTGAATTTTGATGAATAATTTTGTTTACTAAAATACAGGACTTGTGAACTTAATGTTTAAATGCCTTATTGCCCTGTTTTATGGTTTATAATCGCCTTGAATTGTAATTATATACTATTACATGGGATAATCTTAGTAGCATTGACAACTAAATTTTCACTTTTTTTGGTGAGATCATTCAATTCCTCACCTTAATTGTAATCTCCTCCTTCATTTTTCCCTTTCCCGACCCCTATTTTTTTAATAAAAATATGTTAATAAATATCATATATTATTATCACATTAAAAAAGAAACAGAAATTGTCTATAGAAATTATAGTTACAAGAAAATTTATTCTCAATATTGATGTCTGATAATTTCTACCCCTTCTTAGCCTTGTGTTGTTTCTCAACAAAAGAGAAGTGCAACATGACTTGCTGGGTTTTAAAGTGTGTAGATGAAAATTTTCAACTTTAATGAATAGCTGTGATTTTTTTGAAGAATTGCACTTTTATGGTGATTCTTTTGAAAGGTTGTGACTATTCCAAAGGACTGTGACTTTTCCAAGGGGTTGTGACCTTTCTGATAAGGCATAATAAGCACGTGTTTATGCTATTCTTTGTTGTCCATAAATATATGGCTTTCTAGTCATTTTTCAACAACAGATTTTTAGAAATTCTTCTTATTCTTCACAAACAAATTCTAGTGTATTTTTTTCATTGTTGAGTGGTTCACTGGCATTATGATTTCTGGTAGCAATAGTAATATAGTTTGAACAACATGAGCAACAAAGACCAATTCCCTAGCAACTCTAAAAGTCAGCTTATTGGATACTCAGCTCATAAAAAAGCGAAGATTGAGATAGAATGTGAAGAAATTGATAGGATTAGTAAGCTACCTCTTGCTCTTATTGTCAAAATACTTTCTTTATTTCCCATAACAGATGCTCAGAACAACTATTCTTTCTAAATATTGGCAATACTTGTGGACTTGTATCAACAACATTGTTTATTACAACGAGGAGTATTGTCATTCAAATAGCTCGCTAGTGCACAAATTCATTTCCTTAACGAATAATGTACGACCTCTCCTTAGCTGATCTACCATTAAAAAGTTTGGTCTAAACTTTGTGTTCAGATATGATGATGGTGTGTCTTATTCTCCGGTAATTGACAAGTGGCTTGAGTTTGCTGTGAATAAGAAAGCAGAGGATTTACACTTGAATATACGGTATACTATTTATCTGACGGAGCATAACCAAGCCTATAGCTTACATGAAGTTCTATGTAGTATTTCATCCATTCTAAAACTCAACTGTGAGAAATGCAGAATATTAGAAGATTGTGTACTAAATTGGACATCTCTGAAGAGTTTGACGCTGTAAGATTTGTTTCTCCAGGATAAACACATTAAGCAAATAATGTCAAATTGTCCTCAATTGGAATCTTTGAGGCTACGTGAATTTTGTGGTTTTAATCATTTGGACATGACTTCTCCAAAATGTAGGCGACTGGAATTGATCCATCATGGTCATCCTTACGGGGATTGGTATTCATTTGAAGGTGATGCATGCTGCTTTGAAATTGTTGCTCCATATGTTGAACATTTAATGATTTCTGGAGTTTTTAATGATATGAGAATGAAGCTGAGAGACTTTTCATCTTAGAACCATGCCAATCTTGATCTCTACTGTGATGAATTTGATGAAATGGATGAGAACATAGTGAAATATCTTTTGGTAAGCGCTCATTATGCTAATGAGCTAATACTCTCATCTTGGTTTATCAAGGTTAGTTATCACTCCCAAATGTTTCCAGTCTTTTTATGTTGATTGTGAATAGATCTCTTGTTTTATATGTTGAATCATTCTTCTGTTTAGGTGATTTCCATTTTGATGTTAGAAGAGGAAGACGTATCCTTACCATTGTTGGAATTCAAATGGTTGACTATAAGTTCCTGTATTTCAGAACTTTCATTCCCCCTACTAGACAACCACTTAAGGTCAACTCCTAATTTGGAAAATTTGATGATATTTCCTGAGAGGATGGTATGTTTTCTATTATTTTCTTACTTTAAGATATCTTTATGTCAAATGTATATTGATTCCCTACAGCTTTAACGACTAACCTTATTTTTCCTTCTTTGGTATCTATATTATCACCCCTTTTATGAAGACGAAGAGATTGATTTGTCAGAAGACAAAAAGTACCTCTCTATTGAAGAAAACATATTCGAAGTTTCCTTACACAATTTGAAGAAAGTCAAGGTTATGCCATTATGTAATCATACATATACATCTGACGCAACAGAGCTTCATCAATTCTTGAAGTTCTTACTTGAGCATGCAATAAATCTGGAGAAACTAATTATAGTGCTAGACCATAACGATTGCAACAGTTGTTCTATTAATATCTCAAATCTGATGAAGTATTTGTTACCTTTTCCAACAAGTGCAATTATTTCCTTAGGACCAGTTAGTCATAATGTTTTCTATTCCAAGTTTGTTTGAAACTCGATAAAGTAAGTTCTTTAGTCACTTTTTAATGCAGAAATATCATTCGATGAAGTTACAAGTTACATTCAAGAGGATACCTTTCTAATAATTTTTTTTATTTCTTATAAACATGCATGAATATTTCTAGATGATGTACAAGTCATAATTTTAAGATTGTATCCAAATGAAGCGGCTAAAAACATAAATATGTAGCTTCCATTAATTAAAGTAGCCTAAGGTTTGTGTTCGTAAAAAGAAGAGTTGGTTGACATCTCCCCCTAAAAGGATGGAAACAACCTTCTTGTTTTACCTATTACCATACATCCGTTTAAGGCATTCCAACTTGGTGGGACTAGCAAAGAATGTGAAGGAGTGGATGGTACTACTTTTGTATACAACAACTCTAATCTAAAGAGATTCTAGAATAGAACACTACAAAAAACACCTGATTGTGGAGGTTTAATTTCGAGGTTACAATCAACATCCGCAAATTCTATTGAATTGAGGGGATTTCTTTACCTTCCGCTAATTTTATTAAACTTGCACGGAATTAAGGGGGTTTATATACCCTTCACATATTTTATTAAATTTGCAGCGGTTAAAAGATCCGCTACACTTTTAAAAAAATAGATATAAAAATTAAACAAATATATATTTTTAAGAGGTGGTGCTTTTCTTCTAAGAAAAAGAAAAGAAAAGTAAACTCTATTTCTCCTTAATGAACAGTGAACGCTCCCATTTCACTCTAATTTCTTTATTACACTACCTTTCATACCTATAAAAATCTTTAAGGATCTTCTTCATCTGTCTCATTCAACAACGATTCCTCCTACAGAACTGACGAAGACATTGCCACATTGATGCTCTCTGTTAAACAGTGGGTGGAAGATTGATTGTTTGATCGCTTGAATAAGAAGGGCATCACGTTCTTCCTCCCCTGCCATTGATGGAACCACTATCAATCCTAAATAAAAGAGGCGGAGGGTTAAGAAAGAAGAAAGAACAAACAAATACTTTCCACCAGTGGCGGAGCCAAGATTTTCAAAGAGTGCCAATGATTGACCTTAAGGAACTTTTGGAACATCTTAACCAACACACTAAACCATCCTGGCCTTATGTTAGGAGGTGTCAACACTTATATATATATATATATATATATATATATATCTATAAAATCAAAATTTGACTTATATATTGTCACGCCCTGAGCTACTCCCGAGACGCAGACACGGGACCTAGGATCACGAGTGACCCCACGATACACTACTAGTATATCATAAGCATACTTGAAGTAAACTGAATCAATAAACAATGTGCGGAAGCTAATCATAAGATAAATTGAAATGATGGGCAATACCCATTCGAAAACAGAGTATATAATCTGTGAGTTTAATGACAACTGAAATATCAAACTCTAAAGCTAAAATTGAATCTAACTATGTCTGAAATGAAAGCCTCTAATTAACTAGAAATGATGGGACATGCCCCAGCTAGATTTAGCAAATACTGAAACTAAAAGACTGAAAAATGGAAAGATAGCATGTCATTCGTCCTCAAAGAATGAGGACTCACCACTGATGGTGCTGAACTGGAGATCGGGAACCAATCTATGCGTGATGTGACTGTTGAGGACCTAGACTTTCATCACGAGAAGAGTAAGCGTTAGTACTTGAAAGGTACTAAGCATGCATGATATAATAAAGCTGAATAAAACATATAATCGAACCAAAGCATATAACTGAGCAATGATATGAGATAAGCATGACGCTAAACTGGGAATACTAAACATAAACTATATAACTGAATGCAATGACCAAGTTTATAACATGCTAATGTTCAAGTCTGACTGATAACGTGGTCAATGCAATAAGATCTAACTGAACTGTGGGAGCTATTAATAACCGACATAAAACCACATGATATAAATGTGGAGTCCAATATATACGCCCCATTGAGAGGACCCAATATACCCTGCCAAAGGTATAGAGGCATGACTGGTGTGATCACTAAAATGATGCGCACTAAGGGGACTTACAACCTACGGGGCACATAGTTCTAGGACTATGAGGGTAACTGACCCTAGTCCAACTTGATATTAGAATCCAATGAGGAAGAGCAAGTACATTCGCAACCATCTCCTACTTCGGTTTAGAAAGAGTGTTTACCAAGAGTTGGTGGATACCACCTACCGAAATAACCAACAACTCAGTCGATTGGTTGTTGTCCTGCCTAAGATTGTTGATTATATGACAAAAGATGCCATGAAGGAACTGATAGATAAGGTGGACAACTTGTGTGTACCAGTTGAGGTGTAAGAAAACGCATTCACAACCATGTAAGCCGAGGTGGACAAACTAAAAGGCAAGGTGCCTATGAACTATGAGGCTGAACCCACTATGGAAGGTGTAAGGGATGCTTTAGGAATGACACCAAATGTTATTGATGAGCTGATCGAAAGAATAGGTGGCAATGCAGAAAACAAGCAGAAGGAGATAGAGATTTTGAGGATGATGCGGCGCTCCAAGGGATGTTGTTTGAGTTCCACTGTACCGCTTATTCACATGAAGGTGGAGCAAGTTTAAATTCTCCAGGTGGAATGTGGGAAAGTGTACTATATTATTCAAGGAAAGGATATCCTTCACACCAAAGAAACAACTGAGTATGGAAGGGTTAGCAGAAGCAATCCCAATGGTAGTGCAATAACTCACTAACCAAATGTGTCTCTCGTTGGTAGAAGCACCCGAGGACTATTATCATGAGGTTGTATTGGAGTTTAATGCATCCTACCAGACCAAATAAGATGCCCAGAATCATAAAACAGGTGTGAAGAATTTCCCATGTTTGCTATATGGATTAAAGGTGGACATTACAACAACATATATTAATCTGCCATTTTGGAGTGAGCTAATGAGACCAGATGACACGTACGCTCAAAATGTTGTCAAAAGAAGCCAGTTTCATTGGGTGGTGAGTGTCATTTGTGGAGGGCAGCAACTTTGGAGTCATGAGGGAAGGAAATTCTCCCAGCAAGCTCTGTAATTTGAAGCCAAAGTTTGGCATGATTTGATATATTCCCGAATCATCCCATCGAAGAATGATCAAATGGACCATAAAGTAGCTATTCTGATTTTTTGTTTAATGACAAGTGTTCACATCAATTATGGAGAAATGATGGCAATGCAGATTTGGAGAAAAAACTCGCTAACAAAATCGCTTAATGCCTTTTTCGGTGCTTATTAGTCGAATGTGTAATCAAGCTGGGTTCAATACTTTGAACCTGGCAAGGCTATTCTTTTGAGGAGTGTATTGGTTGTTAACAAAAAGAGGGATATTGAGGCCTCAAAAGTGAACAGAACAAGAATGAAAGAGTTCGGTGTGGGGGAGGGTGAGCCTTCAAAACCTGAACCTGGTCTCATGGAATTGGGAAATGCCTCCAATGAGGAAGAGCAAGCACATTCGCAACCATCTCCTACTTCGGTTTAGAAAGAATGTTTACCAAGAGTTGGTGGATACCACCTACCAAAATAACCAACAACTCAGTCGATTGGTTGTTGTCCTGCCTAAGATTGTTGATTATATGACAAAAGATGCCATGAAGGAACTGATAGATAAGGTGGACAACTTGTGTGTACCAGTTGAGGTGTAAGAAAACGCATTCACAACCATGTAAGCCGAGGTGGACAAACTAAAAGGCAAGGTGCCTATGAACTATGAGGCTGAACCCACTATGGAAGGTGTAAGGGATGCTTTAGGAATGACACCAAATGTTATTGATGAGCTGATCGAAAGAATAGGTGGCAATGCAGAAAACAAGCAGAAGGAGATAGAGATTTTGAGGATGATGCGGCGCTCCAAGGGATGTTGTTTGAGTTCCACTGTACCGCTTATTCACATGAAGGTGGAGCAAGTTTAAATTCTCCAGGTGGAATGTGGGAAAGTTCGATTGTCCCCCCCCCCCCCCCCTTTTTGTCCTTTTATGAGTTATAATATTATTGAGGTCAATGCTAATCTTTATGTTGGGCTTTGGTTAGTTGTTTTTGTGATTCTTCTATTGGCCCTTATCGGGCATGTTTGAAAATTTGAGTTTCTTGGTGGGCCTAAATTTTAAAAATGTTTTTAATAGTGCCCTCGGTGGGCTTTATCTAAAGTTGTTATTGTTCTTAGCTGGGTTGGTCTTACATTTCTCTATTGTCCTACTACCAATTTAGCTTGGTTGTTCTTACATTTCTCTATTGTCCTACTACCTATTCTTGCTTATTATACTTAGTGCCTCTAATGGGCCTTGTTCTCTCAATGAATGTATGGGCACATGATTCAAAATCGTCTTTGTGACTAATAATTTATTTTAATAAACTCCAAGAATTTTCTTTATGCCGCAGTTCTTTCCTAGGAACAAATTTTTCTTTAAATTTTATTTTATTTTGTTTTCTTTGAGTCTTTTTATGTCGAACCAAGTAGGTGTTTATCTATGAAAGATTGAGAGACAACTTTCTTATGGGAAAATGCCAAGTTTTTTAGTTTTATTTTGAGTCTTGTGTCACACCTCATGCAAGAGTGACCACCAAAATTTTTTGTCTGGAAAATGGTAGTTGAAAAATGATTTGAAAAATGAAGAGAAGAAGTAAATTTGAAGCATTCTCTCTCTTATCATGAGTCTTACATTCTTCTTTTGACTTTGTGATTTGAAAGTGGGTATGAATCCTATTCTGGTTTGTCAAAACTTATCCAATTCAATTGATTTCAAGACCAATTTGAGATCTTGTTGAGTTGGAATGCCTTGTGTGGAAAGATTTTTGGTTAATTGTTGTGTATGCATGTTGTCTAGAATTTGCCCCAAAATGTGTTTCAAGGCAAAATTCTAGGATTGACTTTTCTTGAAAGATGAACCTAGGACCTCTTTGATGAGTCACTCTACCCAAAATATTCCTTCCCTAGACATTGATCTTAGTCATCCCCTTTGATCCAAAAACTTTTTCCTTAGTCACCATGTTGCAAACCTTGATCTTCTTGAGTACTCTATTTTGACACCCTCATATCCCTAATTGCTAATGATGAAAAGGTAGGGTAAAAGCCTAAGTTTGGAAGAGAAGAAAAGACTGAAATTGTGATGTAGGAAAATGCCTAAAGTTGAAGGTTTGTGCACCAAGAGAACAAACGAAGAATGGGCTAAGAAGTGTTTAGAGCACCATAAGTTTCAATTTAAAAGTAGTTAAGTGAAACAATGGATGAAAGAATGTAAAGAAAAAGAAATTGGTGCTAACTTGTGTTGTGCACATCCCTCATTTGAAAATAAAAGTTGGGTGTTGAATGAGTAGATGATGTCTTCAATAGGAGAAATAAGGAGGAAACAAATCCATGATTTGACCG